ATGAATATCCCGGGCGAGGGTGGGAGGTATTAGAAATACATACCATGGGTGGAGCTTGGGAGTGAGAAGCTAACTAGCAGTCTATGTTTAGGATGTAAATGTTAATACGTGAAAGGAGGGTTTGGCTTGATCATACATATATGGTAAAAAGGAACCTTGTATATAACGTTCATTGGCATCTTATTGATCGCCTTCTTGTTCTCATTTTTGTCTTTTTTTCTCCTCTCTCTATATCTCTATATGTATACAGTTGGGATTAATATTTGACTCTTTATGCTGGTAGCCTCCGTTTACACAGTTCATTACATTCATGCATAAGTTCATTACATTCATGCATATATATAAAAAGTTAATTCAGGAGGATGACATTTCTCAACCATAATATGATTTTTACTTATAATTATGTTGAGGCCATCCAATTTTCTTGTTTTTTTCAAAATTTTCATATAAGATTGTAGGAGAGACTATCAACGATGGACTTTTTTTGTCACGGAATGTGTCACCAATTTCATTTAAAAAAAAAAAAAAACGAGACATATCTCCTTCCACTATATCTTGCCCACTAGTGACCGATATTTTAGACCCTCACAACATATAATATTACTCGTAACATATTGACAGTGGAACCTCTTTACCTCATTGTAGACCACAAGGCATATTCTTAAGAGTTGGCACAAAGTTTCAAAACTCTCTCTCTCTCTCTTCAGAAAAATAAATATGATTCTAATTGAAATTACTCAATTTAATACTTTTAATCTTATCTGATTTTCGCCTTCTAAAATAAAAGCTGTGTATCATTGTCAACTTAGAATCTATCACCTTCGGAGAAACCTAACCTCTATGGCTCTATGACAATGATTTTATATTATTTATTATTTAATAGTGATTTTACCCATATCCAGCCATTTTAGTTGTAAAAGTGCATACAAGGTTATGAACTTGGTGTAAATTAAATTTATTTTAGCTAGAAAATGTGACGTGTTTGATAAATGTAGGTTTAACATTACTCGAGAGAGATTGTTGAATAAAATATGAATATTGATTCTTCAAAATTCAAGCGTATTGTCAAAGTATAAAACTAAGGTTAAAAATGATTATTACATGGGAATTCATGATCCTAATGCGCTTGTTACCATTAGAACACATTAACTTTCACTTAACATAATTTACATTTATTTTAGTTAATTTAATCACAATTACATAAGTAAACTAATTTAGTCATAAACACAAACGTCACTTTACTATAATTTACATAAGTGAACTAAATCATTCTCTGTGGGACGATATTTGGACGCAATCCACTTTATTACTTGTAAACGAACCGTACACTTGCGGTGGTTTTAATTCAAGAAATATTTTCGTAAACAAGTTTTTTGGCGTCGTTGCCGGGGATTGTTATTTTAGTTTGGGTTCAAATTATTTTAGCACTAATTCGGAATACTCCTTGTATTCTTGTACTTTTTTCTATTTTAGTTTTTTTTTGTTTTTTCTCATTTTCAAGATAAAAGATAGTTGTGATTAATTTCAACAAAATGCTCGTATGTGACTTCATCATAAGGCAATAACAATTGACAACTCAAGAAATTAATGAGGGACATATGTTTGTGGGAGATTTCATTATAGGACAACGACTACGAGATATAAAAAGTGAAATGTGAACTTGATGAAACTATCTTGTGTGACTTGACTATTGCATTTCTCTCACCAAAATTTGACGTGGATGATTTGCCTGTGGGATTATTTCTTCCACCAATTATTAATGGACATCAATTAAGGGAATTGAGTTCACTGAACTTCCAAAAATACAACAAGAGGAGAAGACTTTCCATGAAGATGTCTTTATTTCTTTGCCAAAAAATTTCGATAGAGATATTGAACTCGAGAAAGCTCAATTAAAGAAGATGAGTATGAAAAGATCGATAAATTAATCATAACATGCCAAAAAGAATTAGTAGCATTCAAAGAATAGGAAATTTATTTGATAAATGCATTTTGTGCACTTTTTTGGGTCATATTACTAAATTTTTGTGTCGTTTAAGTAATGAATTTTACTTAAATTGTGTTAATTTTCTCTTGTTTAGGTTTTGGATCCGTTCATAAGCAATTGGAAAAGAAAGAATGATCAATTGGCTAATGAATGAAAGTTTTGGGACTAATATGCATTTGAATAAAAATTGAAGGACAAAAATTGAAGTTATTTAATGGGATGATCAAGATGGAAGAAAGAATGAAAAAAAATGGCTAAAAAGAAAATTCTAGAAGTTTTATAACTAGGCAAGCTCTTAGTTATATAGGTCGAGCGGCCACCCGGAGCTTAACCTTAATTACAGGGGCTACTTAGTATGTCTGGGTAGCCGCCCCGTTTACTACGGGGTGTCCGCTCAGGCCAATTTGGCCAGAAAATTCTATTTCTTTCAGAATTCAATTCGAACAAGGAAACTTTCGTTTGTGCCATAATATGCATGATTTTTAGAGACATTTTGGAACTCTTTAGAGGGATTATAAATACCAACTCTTAAAATATAATTAGGGTGTGGAGAATTGAGTGCAAAAGGAGGCAAAGAACAAAAGATTGAATTCAAGAAATCCAAACATCAAATTCAAACATTCCTGGTGGTGAATTATTTTTATTTCTTTCGCTCTCCTCTTCACAACATGTTAGGCTAAAGTAACTTGCGCTAGGATCAAGATAAACCTTGTATTATGGAACTTAATTTTTGAATCTTATTTTTGACATTAAAGTACGTTTTTTGTTTCGAACAATTATGATGATTTTTATTTTCTGTACAATTACTTGATCACTAATTTTATGAATCTTATGTCTTATTTTACTTTCAAGAGATTGAAATTAAGTTAGACATAATCATAATTGTCGTAAAGTTCGATATGAGATAGAAATATACCATTACACTTTACGTAATCTTTTAAGTATTTACAAATCCATTAATACATTTTTGTATGTTCGCATCCGTTATAGAAATATAGTTGGGTCACATATGAGAATATGTTTAATTCTACTCAAGAGCGATTATTAAACAAATCAGAAATATTGATTTTCATAATTGAATCAAGATGTCAAATTATAAAGTTATGGTTAAAAGGGATTGATACAAGGGGATTCGAGATTCTAGTACGCTTTTTATCCTCAAATTTTGCATTTAATTGTACTCTTGCATTTATTTTAGTTAAGTTAGGTCTTGTATTCATAAATAGATTATTTAATTTATAAGAAAAATTATAAATTTCAATTGTTACTGTTAAGACTAAGTTAATTCGAATTTGACCTAATACAATCTCTGTGGGAACGATATTTGGATTCAAAATTTATTTTATTACTTGTTAACGAATCGTGCACTTACGGTATTTGAAGGGAAACAAATATTTTCGAGACAGTTCCATTTGCCTAAAAGTGATTGCAAGGCTTTTGAGAGCGTTTACCTAAAATAAGACCAACTTACATAAATTATATATATTAATGTCATGTAACCAATTTTCACCTTGTGAACCTTGTGAATTCATTTCAGCCATTAACTTATTCAACTTCAAATATATTTTACATGAAAAAGAAAGAGAAGTACATAATAAAATTAGTTGAGGTTCATGATTGGCTCATGTTTGAGAATCATTATTTGAAAATTTTTTTTTTTTACATACTCCTTTTCAACCACACATATACATAATAAAATATTCCGTACGTAAATCCAATTTTTTTTTTTAACTTTTTAACCACACAGTCTCCTAAAAATTACTATTCAAAACTTTGTTTTTCCCATATAATGGTTGTCAAATAGGGCTTCGTCGTGTTTGGCACGTAATAAATAAAAAGTAAGAGAAGTACGTAATAAATTTTGTTAATGCCATGCTTAATCGTGTTGAGAGAGAGCTACTTTCCATATAGATATGAAAAGGTCAATTGTTTTCTGTATCTTGCTTGCTAGCTACTTGGATTAGAATGATTTATTAGTGTGATTGAATACGTTTAGGCTTTTTTTAAAATTATGTAGGATTTGATTTTTGGCTTTAGAAGGATCCTATATATTTAGAGGACTGACCGTTGCAATCAATAATTTTATGTTCTCTCTTTTTTCCTTAAAAGGCGGATAAAATGCATAGATGATATTGTCGCGGAAGCTCATTTTAAGATTTTCAAAACTGTGATTTTCGGGCTCAATTTCGCGTGACCTTTTCTACCAAACAATCAATTCAAACGGCTCCAACCCACAACTAATATATTTACCTCAATTGCTTCTCAATCTCACTCACAAAAGACAAAATAACGGTGTTGATTTGTAAACCACAAAGGCAAGAAAAAAAACAATGAAAGAGGCACCAAAAAAAGGTGGAAGTCGCCAGTTTTTCCCTCAAACATGGCAGCGGATTTTTCTCCTGCAATAGGCAGCCGTTTTTCTCTTACTTCTCACACAAATCACACACCCTAAATTGCAAAGAATGAGGCTATATATAGTCTAACATTAGGTTATCAATCTTGGGCCAAATAAAGGATAAATGGGCCGACACTAAAAGTCATCCAAAAGGTAAATATATATGAACCGTGAGCAGTATTAATTTCTTAAGCTGTTTCCAACGTTGGGGTTTATCACTTTGTATCTTATCACCAATAAATTGGGTTTATCACTTATATAAAGAGTTGTAACAATTCATTTTTAACCATCAATGAAAATTTTTAATTCATTTTTTTTTTTTTATTCCTTGAGGAAATTTGCCTCGACTCCATTGCACGTGAATGGTAGTGGCAAATCAAAGTTCATAGAAAATCCTTTTTCTTTGGCAGTGCATTCAACTATGTCCTCCAACAATTTTTGACAACAATACATCCCATTAAAGCATTTCCACAATCAACTAACACTTGCTACTAATGTTATCAATTTCAAGTCAAAAGAAATAGAATGGAACTAAGAAATTATACAGGATTTGGACACTGGTCCAGAAGATCATCATTTCGGTCATTTAAATGATACTAATCAATGACCATATAAAAATTATAGAATTGAACAAGGTGCACTATCATAGGTAACATAGCTAACACCAACAAGTTGGCATTGCTTACAACATGCAGGGAGTGGAGGACAAGGTTTAGGGGGATCTGGTTTTGGAGGATCAGGTTTCTTTGGAGGCCCAACGCTTGTAATTTCTGAAAATTTTCCAGTCTTTCTGATAGCTGTAATGACACACACAGGATCAACAGTCCCTACAACAGTTACTGTGCCCTTATCAGCAGTCACTGCTACAGAATCAACACCTGCTTAATCACAAGAAAATCCCACTATCAGAACTTGTGGTTTGTTCCGTAAGGTCAACCATATAGTACTGGATTGATATGTTCGGTATTGTGGATATTTGATGTATGTGTTATGTGGTCAGGTATGGTGTGGTGTGGTGTTACAATTTGTCAACTGAGATTGAATTTTGGCACGTCCATTTTTCTTATTACAAGATCGTGATTGATTGACCTCATTAACAAGATCTCTTACGAAATATTAAACCCAATTTCTAATACAAAAAAGCAATTTTAAGCAGAAAAAAGGGCACAAAAGCAATGTGTAGTGATTTATCCTACATCCGCTCTACGCCGTAGATTGTCACTATTACGAAGAAACGTTTTCGCTCACAGTTTATGGTGACCTTGAGGTCAGTTTTCTGTCACACATTTGCAAATAAAAAAATAAAAATTTAGAAACAAAATGTTTAGGTTTGTGAGATATGTATATATCATACCTTTGTACTCATGGCGCTTAACAAGATGAATTAACTGGACTCTAACCAATACAAGAATAGAGTATATAAGTGAAGGAAACCTACTTGCAGGAGAAAGACTCTATATTACTCTTTAAAATCTTCAAATGGTGAATATAAAAGAGTCAATTACTTCCACTGACATGGGGAAAAAAAAAATTGATTATCGGGCAACAACTAAACTGTCTTCATCAACGGTCGGTGTGATCCTTCGACAAAAGTTTTATTAATTACTTGTCCAGATCTAAGTGCTGTCTGCTAGCTGTTTTTCTTTCTCGAAGGGCAAAATTAATCATTGTTTTGTTATATCATTTCGCCTAAACTTTCAAAAGAATAGAACTTCTCGACCAGGCATTAATTTTAATCTAAGTCAAAGTCAACAATTAAGTTTAATCACATGTTCTGTGAGACCCACAATTTTTTCAACCACAAAATTCATCAAGTTTTATCAAAATCTACTAAAAATCTAATTTTAATCCCCACTAAACGAGCTAAAAATCTAGTGTACCATGCATACCAACCAATCTTAATTATGAATTAAATAAGAAAAATTACATTACATTAACAAGACAATGGGGGAATATTAAGTTAACATATCTGAGTTTTATATGAAAATAGAACTGGATTTTAAGTCAAACTCATTGACAATAGTGACATAGAGCGTTTAATATATGCTTGAAATTTTGGTTGGAGCACGTGGGACCTTCTCAAAAATAGGAGTTGGCTAGCCCGTGTCAAGTATGCTCTCAAAACAAGTCAAAAAAAATCAAGAGCCGAGTTGATCCGTGTCAAGTTTGGGCAGCTCGATCCGCCTTTATTTATTATTGAGGAAGTCATTCGATAATAAGTAATAACAATGTTTAAAATGCATGCGTGTTAGTTTAGTGATGTCGTTTTGTCCATTGTTGCATTTGGAACTGCATAGGAAGTTAGCAAGTACGAGAAATACAAAAATTTGAAATAGCCTTATTATAGTATTCTATGGAAAGTGAATACCATATTGATCTATCAGAGTTATCAACCACTCAGTGAAAATAAAATAACATAAAAAAGCAATTTGGCTCATTTTGTGTGATTTTTTGAAAATTGAAACCCAAACCAAACTATTTTGAAACGGTTTGATTCGATTTGAGGAAAAAACCACAGGCCTACATGGACCCAAACCAACAAGTTCAGTTTTGTTTGCGATTTTGCGATTATCCTAGATCAAGGTTTTGATCAAGTTAAGAGCTCAACTTGATCTTTCATGATGACAACTATGAAGTATCATACTCTACCATTAAATCGCAATATAAAATTCTCTTTTTGGCAGGTAAAAATGCGAGTAGTCTCTTTCAGATGGAATTGGACGACATGTTTGACAAAATGTCCACGACTTGGACTTCGGAAGAGAAACAACGGAGGGATCGAATGATCTTATCTCAAGTATATCTTCATCTTTCAAATAATATTTTGAAGGAGAAGTCAGCATCTGCATTATGGTTAAAATTGGAGCAATTGTACATGACGAATAATCTTACTAGAAAATTGCATCTGAAACAATGTGTATAATCTCATTGTAGTAGAATTCGTGTCAAGGTGGAGAATCTGTGAAGTGTTCATCGCAGTAAAATTCGTGTCAATGTGGAGTTTGGTAGAATTAGAATATAACCTGAATTCTACTTTGAAAATAATTTGGAGTTCTAATTAAAGTCGTCTTAAGAAGAAATCCATTTGAAATGCTACTTTGAAATCCTATTCGAAATCTATTTGACAAATTCTAGTTAAAGTTCTATATGCAAGTCCAATTGGGAGTTAGGAATTTATATTGAACTTGAAGAGGTCAAGATATGAACCGGGGAGAAAATTCGTCGCAATTTCCCTAGCTTGCGTAGAGTGGTGCTTGAGCGGCTTCGTCAATATTTTCCACAGAGACTTTGCGTCTGCATGACGCTCGAGCGACGAAGCTAGTGCTCGAGCAGTGTGCTTATCCAGGTCCAATTTGGTATCACGTTTTTAGCGTGTTTTAAAATTATATTTCATCTATAACTCTACTTTTAGGGTTTTGGACTTCCCCTATATATATTTATCTCTTCATTGTATTTTGAAAAATATGTTGTTGAAAATAAAAGAGAGAAAAATGTATTTTGAAAATAATGAGAAACAAACAACGGCTAAATTAGACAAAGTTGTAAACACAAAATATTTTTAGTGAGATCTTCTTTACTCTACAAATTATTTTATTTTGTGTTCTTGTGATCAATTACTTCACATTGTGCCTATAATCTTGTGTTTTCTTCAACAAAGTGATATCAGAGCAATCCGATATCATCTTCGTTTTCAACGTTGGGGTTTATCACTTTGTATCTTATCACCAATAAATTGGGTTTATCACTTATATAAAGAGTTGTAACAATTCATTTTTAACCATCAATGAAAATTTTTAATTCATTTTTCTTTTATTCCTTGAGGAAATTTGCCTCGACTCCATTGCACGTGAATGGTAGTGGCAAATCAAAGTTCATAGAAAATCCTTTTTCTTTGGCAGTGCATTCAACTATGTCCTCCAACAATTTTTGACAACAATACATCCCATTAAAACATTTCCACAATCAACTAACACTTGCTATTAATGTTATCAATTTCAAGTCAAAAGAAATAGAATTGAACTAAGAAATTATACAGCATTTGGACACTGGTCCAGAAGATCATCATTTCTGTCATTTAAATGATACTAATCAATGACCATATAAAAATTATAGAATTGAACAAGGTGCACTATCATAGGTAACATAGCTAACACCAACAAGTTTGCATTGCTTACAACATGCAGGGAGTGAAGGACAAGGTTCAGGGAGATCTGGTTCAGGATCAGGTTTCTTTGGAGGCCCAACGCTTGTAATTTCTGAAAATTTTCCAGTCTTTCTGATAGCTGTAATGACACACACAGGATCAACAGTCCCTACAACAGTTACTGTGCCCTCATCAGCAGTCACTGCTACAGAATCAACACCTGCTTAATCACAAGAAAATCCCACTATCAAAACTTGTGGTTTGTTCCGTAAGGTCAACTATATAGTACTGGATTGATATGTTCGGTATTGTGGATATTTGATGTATGTGTTATGTGGTCGGGTGTGGTGTGGTGTGGTGTTACAATTTGTCAACTGAGATTGAATTTTGGCACATCTGTTTTTCTTATTACAAGATCGTGATTGATTGACCTCATTAACAAGATCTCTTACGAAATATTAAACCCAATTTCTAATACAAAACGCAGTTTTAAGCAGAAAAAAGGGCACAAAAGCAATGTGTAGTGATTTATCCTACATCCCCTCTACGCCGTAGATTGTCACTATTACGAAGAAAATGATCTCACACGTTTTCGCTCATGTCACAAGTAGAAATAGCCCATTGAATAATTCTTTTTATACTTTTTATTAAGGCAATCCAATACATAATGCCTAATAGTATCTGGATCCACGATACGTTATCAATTTGGTATAGGTCAAAATCAGATTAAAATCTCAAGTCAAAGTCAACAACTAATTTTAGTCACATGTTTTATGAAACCCATAATTTTACAATAACACATTTCATCAACTTCTATCACAGTCTACTAAAAATTTGAGTTTAATCTGCATATATAATTCGATTCCAATAAGATCAAAGATGTACCTGTAAGTTTGGCTACAGCTTTGAGAACTTCAGTCTTGCATTTCTCACAGTTTATGGTGACCTTGAGCTCAGTTTTCTGTCACACATTTGCAAATAAAAATAAAAATTTAGAAACAAAATGTTTAGGTTTGTGAGATATGCATATATCATACCTTTGTACTCATAGTGCATAACAAGATGAATTAACTGGACTCTAACCAATACAAGAATAGAGTATATAAGTGAAGGAAACCTACTTGCAGGAGAAAGACTCTATATTACTCTTTAAAATCTTCAAATGGCGAATATAAAAGAGCCAATTACTTCCATTGACATGGAAAAAAAATAAAATAGATTATCGGACAACAACTAAACTGTCTTCATCAATGGTTGGTGTGATCCTTCAACCAAAGTTTTATTGGTTAATTACTTGTCCAGATCTAAGTGTTGTTTTTCTTTCTCGAAGGGAAAAATTAATCATTGTTTCGTCATATCACTTCATCTAAACGTTCGACAGAATAGAACTTTTCGGTCACGAATTAATTTTAATCTAAGTCAAAATCAACAATTAAGTTTAAATACATGTTTCGTGAGACTCACAACTTTTCAATCACATAATTCATCAAGTTTTATCAAAATCTACTAAAAATCTAATTTTAATCCTCACTAAACGGGCTAAAAATATAGTATACCAACCAATCTTAATTATGAATTAAATAAGCAAAATTACATTACATTAACAAGACAATTGGGGAATATTAGGTTAACATATCTGAGTTTTATATGAAAATAGAACAGGATTTTTAAGTCAAACTCAGTGACAACAGTGACATAGAGCGTTTAATATATGCCTGAAATTTTGGTTGGAGCACGTGGGACCTTCTCAAATATAGGAGTTGGCTAGCCCGCATCAAGTAGGGGCAGAGTCAGCCTGTCGAAATTTTTTTTTTAAACATTATCTATTAAAATGAGGGAAGTTTGTACTTTGTGATGGACAAATGAAACAAATGAATATAAATTAATGTACATTATTAACAAAAAAATCAAGAAACGTATAAAAGAAAGTACTAATCTTTAATTTAGCAAAATTATACATTATTACAAGCGTTCCTTTCGAGTTTAAGTTTTTGGATTGGTAGGGTTTAAGTTTTTTATTCATTTGAGGATAAAATGGTAAATACAAAAAATA